AAGAAGGGGAAATTACTGACCAAAGATTCTATTAACAAGTTAAGGCTCAGGCAGTAAAATTTAGGCAGAGCTCCTGATTCTTGCTTCAGTATTCCTCCCTATAAACCCACAGTCACCAAATGCCTAGTCTTTCTGGAGATCCAAGAATATTCCAGACTCTTAGTCATAGACACACCTGAATCGAACCTATTGGACCCACAAAGGCCACAGGGAAGTCACAATCATTTGATAGGAAAGACTAAGCATTTTTCTGCTCATTCTATCAGACAACATATTCTATAACATTCGTTATCTCAGAAACGGCCTTGAATCTGTCACATAAGTATATGAATGTGCTTATTTTTCTTCTTCTTTTAACATTCCCAAAATGCTCTCTAAGACACAGTGATGATCTTGAAGTTAAAATAAAATATCTCTTAAAGAGTAAGATGGAATAGGAAGGAAACAAACGCTGCCTGTCTATATGTTCTAGAGATTCTATTTGGTATCAAAATTTCCTTTTATAGATTATAAGAGTGGATCTCATAGAGTTTAAGTATGGGATCCAGGGTCACACAGCTGCTAAGAGAAAGAGCTGCTATCATAACACCCATGTGCTTGACTTAAAAGCCTGTGTTTGGAACCACTCAGTCTCCTCTGTAGATAAACTATGTAAAGCAGTGACACTTGCCATACACAACTGGTTGGGTTGTGACCTGGCATATACACTTTGCAGAACATTTGTGTCATATCTGACAAACTGTGTCTATTTGACAACAATTCAAATGGACCCCTTAGTATATTTATATCCAGAATACCTGGCAGATGTACACAGAGAGATCTGCACAAGAAAGTCCTACACACCACCCTTATATTAAGATTTTTTAATGGAAAATTCCAAACATATAAGTAGAGAGAGTAGTCGATTGAGCACCCATTACTCATCATCTAATTCTGACAATTATCTATTCATAGTCATATCCTCCACACTTTCCCACCTCCACCATTTTGAAGGAAATGATACGTTTTACCCATAAGTATTTCAGTATGTATCCCTAAAAGATAAGAGCTCCTTTTAACATAACCACAATACCATTGTCACATCTAGTAAAATTTGATGGTAATTCCTTAATATCTAATATCAGTATCAATTTTTGCACAGATGCCTTTTATACAGTTGGTTTGTTCCAATTAAGGTCTAAACAAGGTCTCCACATTACTTGGTTGAGCAAAAGAAGTCAGACAAAAAATGATATACTGTATGATTCCACTTATTTGTTTTAAAACAGGTTAAATTAATCTTTGTGCATCAGTCTTTTTAATAGCACAAATCTGAAACAGTTAAAATGTCCATCAAATATTTATTTCCATACAAATAAATCATAGTACATTCATAGAGTAGAAGATAATATATCAGTTAAATGTGAACGAACTAGCCGGGCTCAGTGGTTCAGCCTGTAATCCCGCGCCTTTGGGAGGATGAGGTGAGTGGATTGCCTGAGCCCACGGGTTCGAGACCCACCTGGGCAACTTGGCGAGACCTCATCTCTACAATAAATCAAAAAAAAAAAAAAAATAAGCCAGGCGTGGTAGCGCACGCCTGTAGTTCCAGCTACTTGGAAGGCTGAGGCAGAAGGATCACCGGAGCAGGTCGAGGCTGCGGTGGCCGAGAGAGAATGAGACTCCAACTCAAAAAAAAAATGAATGAACTAAAGCAACAGCAATTAGAAAGTAGATGAATTTCAGAAACAAAATGTATGGTAAAAACTGCAAGTTACACAATGATACTAGTTAAACCTGTGTACATATCCTGGTGAAGACTTCCCTGTGAAGTTTTATTAAATTATAGATGTTTAGGACCTTCTCCAGACTTACTGAATCTCTTCACCTGATATCTCTTGGTATATGTAACTACTGATTCTTGATATACTCATGGTATATTATGTCCCTGAACCATAGGTTATATCTCGAATTTTTAATAAAAATTATATTCACTTTTTTTGTAAATCAGATGTAACTTTTACTACCTTTGTTGAGAATAATACTGTAGTTCCAGCTACTTGGAAGGCTGAGGCGGAAGGATCACCTGAGCCCAGCAGGTCAAGGCTGTGGTGGCCATGAGCGTGCCACTGCACTCCAGCCTGAGCAACAAGAGTGAGACTCCAACTCAAAACAAACAAAAAACAAAAAAGAATAGTCAAAGATAATATTTCCTCTTATCCTTTGCACCGGGTAAAACTAAAGGGACCAAATGACTCAACGTGGATGATAGGAAATCCTGCTTCTGAGGAGTCAATGCTATACTGCAGCTAACTTACCTAGGGAGAAAAAATATATAGAAAATATTCAATATAAAGGATATCTCTTTCAAATATCTATGATAATACAACTGAAAATATTGATTAAATACATGCATTTGTGAAAATACAAATTATAGAAGTTAAACTCTCTCCTCTCCCAAATCAAAGGGATTTAAGGACAAAGAAGAATGGAGGAAATTGAGGTCATCAGTGAGCTACTACTTCAAATGGCCAGGCTTCCAGAAGTTTTTCATGTCAGGTCATTAAGGAACAGATTTTTTGCTTTGTTTTGTTTTATTTTGTTTTATTTTTTATTTTTTTGGAAGTTCAAAAAAAGATCTTTTGAATCTTTTTATTACAATGGAGTGAAAATCCTTTTCTATCTTTAGAGTTGTCGAACTTTTTTTTTCTGTGTTTTTTATATTGACATCTAATTTGTCTACTTTGGTTGTTAGTCGGTCAAGAATGTCGTCCTAGCCGGGCTCGGTGGCTCAGCCTGTAATCCCACGCCTTTGGGAGGCTGAGGTGAGTGGATTGCCTGAGCCCGCGGGTTCGAGACCCACCTGGGCAGCGAGACCTCATCTCTACAATAAATCAAAAAATCACCCGGGCGTGGTAGCGCGCGCCTGTAATTCCGGCTACTTGGAAGGCTGAGGCGGAAGGATTGCCGGAGCCCAGCAGGCGAGGCTGCGGTGGCCGGGAGCGGCCACTTCACTCCAGTCTGGGTGACAGAGTGAGACTCCAACTCAAAAAAAAAAAAAAAAAAAAGAATGTCGTCTTGCTCCTCAATTTCCGTCTGCATCCCCAGGGCTATGTCCTTCAGATGGCCCAGTCCCATGGACAGCTCATCTAGGTTGCTGTCGATCTTCTGGCGATAGGCTCTAAGGTGCGGGTTCTTGGGATAAGCATCAGTGCTCACAGCATAACTAGCCCCTCCAGGGATGGAGTCTACATCATCCAGCTTTCTGAGATTTGGGCGGTTGGCCTCCTGTTCTTTACTTGTACTTATGGCTTCTTTCAATCTACTGCTGGGCAAGAGTGCCATTCTCTTCAGGTGAGGTCTCTGCTGGTTTGGATTTGAAGTAATTGACAAGTACCCCAAACACACTCTTAATGCTGTTGATGTGCCTCTGGCTGGTCTTCAAATCTTGGTCCATCTTGTCTACCATCTTCTCTGTACGTTCTAAGGCTCCTCGTTGACGAACAAGTTCCTCGGAGGAGGCGACCCCGACCTTCTCTGACTCGTACATGAGGGACAGGGATCTGCTGGTGCTGGCAGCTGTGGCCTCGGCCCTGCGCAGCACCTCCTGTCTCAGGTACTGCTGCCTGTCCACGGGTTCCACGGGCCCGTTGGGGAGGTCGCGGACGTCCCTCCACTGGCCGGTCGGGAGCCCCCTTCCTCCGCGTCATTGTCGTCGAAAGGGTTGTGGCTTTTAGGGAAGGTCGACATGGTGCCGGCTCAGTCTGGTCTCTGTTTTGTTTTAATAGAATGGTATCATATTACGAAGGGCAAAAATGTCTTTTTTTTTTTTGAGTCGGAGTCTCAATCTGTTGCCCAGGTTGGAGTGCAGTGGCATGCACACCGCCACCACAGCCTCCACCCGCTGGACTCAGGCGATCCTTTTACCTTAGCCTTCCATGTAGCTGAACCTCCAGGTCTCAAGTCATCCTCCTGTTTCAGCTTCCCAAGTAGCTGGGACTACAGACATGCACCACCA